GATAACAGTACTTTGCAGATTCAACTTCGTTTATACGATAGCAGCAAATATTTATTGTTATAAAAGTTGAACTTCTTATTTTTCTATCCAAAAGAGTTCGTCTAAAACAAGAAAAAACTACTGTGTTGGCTCATAAGAAGGTCTACTGACAATCCATAAAAAAAAAGAAAGTGCTCTTTGACAAGAAACCTGAAGACAACAAAGCAGTTACAAGATACAACAAATATGGTCAATTAAATTTGCAGTTCATCTACATGACTATGTATATTCACTTGACTTTTATCATTTGAAAGACTATAATGGATACTTACCAGACTACACTTTCCAACACCTCACGACAAAATATATCGGTTGTCTGTCGATTTAAAGTTCGGTATGAATTATGTAAATTGTCAGAAACGCCATTTGAAGATAATGGATGAGTGGTATTCTGGTGACACTGTACAGTTGGAGCGAGAACTCTCCTGGTGAAATCTACTAATAAACTAGTTGACTGGGATAAAGAACAAAGCTTTTTTGAACGATAGAACTGACAACGAAGATGGAATGATAGTAGAGCTTGAAGATACTCTGAATAAGTTTGGTCTGCGAGAAAAAAAACATTTAGGAAGAACAAACCAATAAATAGCCGAACAGATCACGCTCGATCTTTTAAAGCTACGTTATAAAACCAGCATTGGTCAAACACAAATAAATGAAAATCACAAAAATTAACTAGTGAGTAATTATAAGGTATGGAGTTGGAAAGCCAAATAAATGGTAAACAATAAAACAAATTAAAACAATTAGTCCTTTTGATAAATTTCTGAAGCCATTTGGGTACATGTTCACTCACCCTAATGTTGAGATCACGATTACTCCTCCCTATGTATGTGCGACCACACACAGAAACAAATACAATCGAGTGATCCAATAAGAGCAGAGGATAAACATCCATCATTGCTAAACATATAATTGAAACAGGTCACAAGATTGATCTAAATTCAGCTTTTGTAGTGCTGTATAAAAGTGTGAAAGGGCATGTACTAAGGTTTATTGAAGCCTTAGCCATACGAAAATTCAGACCCCCTTTGTGTGTTCAAAAACAGTTTGTTCTTACGTTAAACCTACCCATGTAATATTGACTTATTATCCAGAGTGATTAGGTTTCAAATTGTGTTCACATTATTATTATTATTATTATTATTATTATTATTATTATTATTATTATTATTATTATTACTCTTATCATTATCCTTATCTCCTCTTACCCCGTTTCCTGTCTAGTTGACCTTTTCTTTTTATATATAAATGCTCTTAACAAGTATGTGTGACCAGATTGTTTCAAATGTATTGCGCTAATATATTACATAGTTCTGATAATCTTGATCTTCTAATATCATTATCGAAATAAAACAATTCCTAGGGTGACAAATGAATGAATGCAACCGAGCAATCATTGGTTCCTACCGAGAAATTAGACCTCCCCAAAAGAGAAAAACACCATATTTTTCAAACTAACAATATTATTTTAACACGCATCACTAGTTGGAGATATTGATTTGATATAAACGACACAACGTTGTTGTAGAGATTCACAACCTTACTAGAACTTCTCTCTTAACTTCAGATCATCCAATTAATACTAACCAAAGGGTATTGTGAAAATACTTATAAATAAATGCTATTTGGTTACATTAATCTTTTTAAGAACTGTCTCCCTCTTCTACAGCAAAAGCAAATTGATGTGGGGTACAATAACTACTTGTCACGTACTTCGATATATTACCAATACCACTGGCAGTGTGATAGTCGATCAAAAAGAAGGGCTACATGTATAAGGAGGCAACAAATGATAAGTGAAGACAAGACACAAGCTGAATAGAAACAGATTATATTAAGAGGTGCCATTGCATTCGGGACGTAAAGTGGTTGCACTGATGCTCTCCAAAAAATACGAGAACGAAGGGAATTTCATGGATCCAGGATCATCAAGGTATCCTTAGAAGGAAAGGATTACAATGAATGACATCCAGTGCTACGCGCCCACCAATGACAGGATTGAAGATGAGAGGCTGCATTGCATCGTACGGAAATACTTCACCATCCTAATTTGAGACCTGAACGCCAAGGTTGGGGTGGATAACACCAGGTATGAAGATATCATGCGACGACATGGACTGGGAGAAAGGAACAAAAATGGTGACATACTTACAAATCTGTTTGTTTTCAACAACATAAATGGCTTTATTTCCCACCACAAATCTACATACAGAGCTACACGGATTTCACTGGACCATACTGCGGAGAACAAGATCGATCACATTTGCATCAATAGTAAGTTCAGTAGGTCCATGGAAGCCGTAAGAACAAAAAGAGGAGCCGATATAGCTTCCGACTACCATCTAGTGGTGATAAAACCAAAACGGAAGTTAAAAAATATTGAATAATTAGACAAGCAACACTAAAACAGTTTGACTTGGATACCTACGAGACGAGAACCAGATGAGCGAGTTTAAGAAAGCTGTCAGCAACGTGTTCCAAGCCCTAATAGATCTACGAGAAGAGATAACTCCTACAAAAGATACAATACGAAAGGGATTAAAGGAGCATTAACTTCAACTTGTCAAGAGGCTCAGTTCTGGGCCTCAAGAAGCATCATCATAAGGAATGGATCTCCATGGAAACCCTGTACAGGATTCAAGAAAGGAAGAACAAGTGGACAGCAATTAACAACAGCGGAACACGATCACAGAAAGTCAAAGCACAAGCTGAACATACAAAAGCAAACAAACTAAAACAAGAGTATTTGAGCTGACAAGAGAACAAGTTTCAATGAGAGGAAGTAACAAAAACTTTGTGATACAACCAAGAAGTTAACAAAGTAATGTAGTAAAGCAGAATGAACAGTCATGAACATACGAAGAAAACCGATTATTGAGGAACGAGAGCAGAGGAACATCTGGATAAAACAATTGAAAATAGCAGCTCATATGAACCATCGAACATCGAAGCAACAAAAACAGGCTTTCCTATATATGTTACTCCACCAACGATCGGAGAAATCAGGAAGGCCTTCTGACAAATCAAGAGTGAAGCAGTAGGACCTCACAACATACCACTGAAGTGAGAAATAGAAGCAACCAGAGCAACTAGTAATATAGGAACATGGAATGTCTGGACAATGTAAGAGACCGTGAGGATTAGTCGAATTGCTGTGGAAGTGAGGAGATACAACTTGGCGGTTCTCAGAATCAGTGATGCTAATTGGACGCAAGCTGGATAGAAAAGTTTAGAGTCGGAAAGATGCTGTTGTCTAAAGAAGCACAAAGTGAATTTATTGGGTAGGAATCTCATGAAGGGAGGGAATCACAATGAATGTTATCCAATGTGATGCACACACCAATGATAGCAACGACAACGATAAAGATCAATTTTATGAGAGGCTGTAATCAATCATAGCGAAGTGTCTAGGAAACGACCTGAACATCCTGATGGGAATGGAAAACACTGGGTATGAAGATATCATGGGACGACATGGACTGTAGGAAATGAACGAGAATGTCGAGAGGTTTGATAATCTATGTGACTGCAACAAATTGGATATAAACGGTACAGTACACTCCCCACAAACGCATACATAAGGCTGCATAGGTCTCACTGGATCACACCAAAAAGAACCAAATAGATCATATTTGTATCAATAAAAAACTAGAAGGACAATCGAAGACGTGAGATATCTCACCGAAGAAACGAGATATGAGGAAATGTGAGAACTACAGAGGCATCACTCTACTATCAGTACCAGGAAAAGTTTTCAATAATGTTGCTGGACTGGATGAAAGATTCAGTACATGCCCGATTTTGAGATCAACAGACCGGATTCCGTAGGGATCGGTCGAGAACAGACCAAATCGCGACAGTACGAATCATCGTTGATTAATCAATTGAATGAAGATCATCACTATGTATCAAATTCCTTCACCATACCAAAGTAATCGACAGAGTGGATAGGAAAACCTTACACAATATTCTTCGACACTATGAAGTACCTGAGAAAATTGTTAACATCATACTGAATCCATAAGACGAACTACATTTCAAAGTCGTTCACGGACGACAGCTCACAGATGCATTCCAAATGGAGACTGGTTTCAGACAAGGCTGTCTACTCTCATCCTTCCTCTTTCTTCTAGCACCTGACTGGATCATGAAGACCTCGACATATCAGCGGAAGCACACAATTCAATGAACAGCTTATATACAACCAGATGATTTAAACTTCGCACATGACCCAACCCCTCTAACCCATACATACCAACAATTACAGGTCAAGACAACCAGTGTAGCACTAGACTCTTCATCAACAGGCCTCAACATACACAAGGGGAAAAGCAAGATCCTCAAATACAACACAGAGAGCACCAACCCAGTCACACGTGATGGAGAAAGTGTCATAGAGGTGAAAGCTTTCACGTACTTGGTCAGCATCATCGATGAACAAGGAGGATCTGATGCAGACGTGAAGGCAAGGATTGGCAAAGCGAGAACAACATTTCTACAGTTGCAGAACATATCGAACTCAAAACAACTGTCAACCAATATCAAAGTCACAATCTTCAATACGAATGTCAAGACAGTCCTACTGTACCGAGATGAAACGTGGAGAACTGTCACAACCATCATCAAAAATGTACAAGTATTTATGGAGAGCTGTAGGCGCATGGTAATACAGATCTACGGGCCGGTGACCATGACAATAAATCGACTACGTAGAGAAAATACCTCCCTCTCGAAATGCTCTCACATGGCCACGTGTATATAGCCTCTGCCAGGAAAGTCCTACTCACCGCCTTCTCGTGGCGGGGGTGTTATTTACTAAAATGAGAGGACGAAAAGCGAATGTCCGGCGCTTTAACCGGATTCCAAACCAATGCTGCACATGGGCTCCAGGATCCTGAGGGAACGAATAACGTATGAACTAATTGTTGGTCACCAGCTACCATGGGACTGCATCTCCTTACGATGCTCCACTGCTTTGTGGATCAAACCTCCAGGTCGAAGACTCGGGAGGTGGCCCCTTAAGAAAACCACCTGCTTCGGTTTGGGCACCCGAGCAGTATCACAGCCCTCACACATATCAAATGAGATTTGTGTAGTGCATATGTATTTGGTGCCTCCTTGTACCAATATCTATGTGTTAAAATAAATAAATAAACATGGTAGCAATTAGAAAGGAGAGTCCAGGACGGAGTAGTTCAGAGGACTGTTCCCTCAGAGGGTTAAGAAGCCTAGGTATGTAAATAAGTATTATAGCCGAATTCGCGCTTAGTGTGCAATATTAATGAAAGTGCTAACTATTACCTTTCAACTTGATAGAAGCTTCCCATTCTTGATTCAACACATCTTTTGTGTAAGAGAATAAATCTGGAACCTAAAAATTAAAAAAATCCGGAAATCATTCAGTAAAAAATGGAATCCCATTATGAAATGATGTCAACTTTACCTCTCCCTTCAAAAAATTACATCGATAAAAGTACTATTAAGGATTCTATTTAGTAAAGTACAATCAATTCGCTTTAGAGGTATATCTTATAAGAAATTCATTCCTGATATTTATATTTTGAAATAAATATGTTCTCTGACTTTGTAATTTTGTTATGCATTATGGCCTTAGAAAGATTCTAATAGGTTAGTTTAATTACTTAAAATATCCGAAAATCTAGTTGCTATTTCTGAGTATTTTCATGATTAAACCATAGTCATCTACTTGTGTTATAATTATAACCTGCGTACGTTAGTTAAAATATGATAAAAGATGGTACGGAATCTGAAGTTGATAGATGAAATCTGAGAAATGCTGAAAACTATTTCAGATTTATAAGTACAGGTTTCTTTGTTTGGTATATACGGAAAATTCTGTACTGAAAGAATTCCTCTACAAATTATTTATTACAACAGTGTATATTGTATCTGTGTATAAACAATATGTATTTATGCTGAAATAACTCTGATCTAGATTATTAAAAAAAAGATATTAAACTGATCCAAAACAAAAAATGAGTAATAACTACCCAAAATGTATTTTCATCTGATTGACATGAGACGGATAAGCTGTTTTGACATTCATAATACAAAGAAGACAAATAAAATACAAGGCGGCAGTGCAAAACAGCTGCATGAGCATTAGGTAAACGAGATGGTGTTAAATTCTTCATCAAGTATTCGATGACTGTACGTAGGTTTTCAGATAAGGCAGCATTGTCTGATAATGAAATAAAAATGGGGGTTTGTTAAACATACAAATATGAGATTATAAATCGTTATTCACAAAACAAACGTAACCGAACGAGCGGGTTCTGAACAACGATTCAAGCTAGGAGACAAATGTGATATTATATGGATTAAAGTGAACACTCAAACTTTCCAAGTCTCGAAATGTGAGATCTAGAGAGTTATGCTATCTAAAGCATAATCGAAATAAAAATGCATCTCACAAACAATAAACGAGAGTGAGTAACAATACAAGTTACTGCAAGCTAGAAAGGCAGTGCAGAATACTGTTATAAAGAAACACTCAAATTTAAAAGAAGTTTGATTAGGCAAATCAGCTAAGGCAAAGTTTAAACAAGTAACAACACATAAAACGAAGTTAACCAAGAGAAGAAACGTAGTGTTGCAAGAAAGATTAAGCCAACAGATTTACGTAAATATAGCAAAATAGTTCATGAAAGATTTCGTTGGACAAAAAAATCGACGACCGTTACACAAGGCGAACAAAGACGAAATAAAGTTAGAAATAAATAATGTATTCATATATGTATGGCCAAATCCAAGCTAAATTAGCTTGTAATTTACCAATACTCTGAAGGTTTTAAATAAAATAACAATGTGTGCACAACCTTATTTTGTCTTCCTGAAACAATCGGGTTCCTGGAAATGCACCACAAATCATAGCTATGGGTCAAAACCACTGTCAACCGTTCTCTCTTTTACCTTCAACTCTCCACAAACAGTGCTGATGTTAACGACTTGAGTTTGCAAAATATTATTCCCAGTCTCTCAAAACTCCACTACAAACTATATGTTTGGGTTTTTAGTGTTCGGAACTTACCTGAAATTGGACAACAGGTTTCACTAGCTAAGACTACAATCTTATATACTCAATGTACACTGTGTCCCTAAAACCTGCTTACAGGATTCAAGTGTGATCATTCACTTGACCTCATCTAGCCAATATGGAGATCTATAGTGATCTATCCTTCATGCAACTTCTCGTAAACTTAATGGTGTTTATATAACAGCAATTTTGAAACCAGAACATACACTCCCTGTACGCTGTCCGATTAACTAATATTATTATCTCTTTGGCGTTTTTGCTTATTTAGGGCGAACTGTATAATCTAAATTTATCAAATATAAAAAAACCTCAAAGCAAACAGGGTAATGAAAACAAATATTAACTTACCAAATCTGGGCACATTATTTATTTCTTTTAAAATGGGCAGCGAGTCATGATTTTCATCGTAAATATCAACAAAAAGTTTTCCATTTACTTCATCCATTTGTTTCATAAACAATGTGGTTTGTTCTACATCATAATCATGATTAATAGGCTTATAGTGGTCGGGTCTAATGATACCCTCTGCATTTATTATAATTTCACGTGTAGCACTTGTATTGATGTTCGATTTACAACACTTGGCAAATGTGTTTATGGTATTATATGTGAAAGTGGTCATAGAACTGATAGCTGATGAATCAGGGCTGTCAAATAAATATCGTTCGACGTTGGGAGAGAGATTAATGAATCCATTTGTGAAAATCAACAAAGAACGTAAGCAAATGCACACGATGGATGATATCTGACAATTTAATCCAGATGATAAACTTTCGATAAATTTACTTCTATTAATTGGATTTATTTTTTCAGCATCCGACTGTGACTTTTTGGACTCCGTAATATCCTGTGAGCTACGCTCATCATCAGATGAGTCTGATGAGAAAACTGTGTCACTCACATTGCTCTTCGAATAATTTGCGTGCTTAGCTATACCTAATAGTAGAAAACATAAATATCAATCAAAATAATAAAACCAAAGTCAATACAAAACAGAAAGATATCTGACCTGAAATATAATCCACTGCATGCACTAGTATATAGACAAGATAAGGAACAATATAAGTGAAATAAGCAAGCTTCGAAGATTCGGTGAGATTGTTTAAACGTTCAAATGCATTCCACCCATTTGTGGCGGGTAAGCTAATAAAGGAAAACAACAACAATTGCATTCAAAATACTTTATCATCACAAACACACCAATAATGTTTACTCCAATATATTGATAATAAAAAAATAGATTTCGTAAGTTATTTAAACTCAGATCTTGTTCCTAAGAGAATTACATTTCGGTTACGTAACAAGTAATATCCAAACCATAAATAACAACTCATCCATTCATTCCTGAATCCTTACAGTTAAGTGTGAATCACGAAAAAACAAACACAATAATAATAGAAGCAAAAGCGCATAATCAGTCAGTCAGCTACAACGTAGGACCAGGAACATATGTGCATCGGTCCAGGTTGCCATACCGCATCAGCACAACAAGATGAACACCGGATTCATAACAGTGGTTAGGTAAAAGGTGGTAATATATAAGAGAAAGATTGCAATAAGGAGATAGTACAGGAAGAAATAATTAGTTGGCAGAAAGAAAGATATGAAGCGATTTTAATCTCTTAGTTTGAGGGAAGACAGGGAGTGTATACACCGACGCCATTGTGATCGATTCTGAGCCATGTCACCAAGAGTCTCCAACCATTGGTTACGCAAGTCACGCGGACCCCAACCAAGTAGTCTGCATCTACCAACATGGCTCAGACTAGAAGTTAGTGACTTCAAACACTGATGCCACGTTTTGGTTTGGCCGCCCCTAACTTTCTTCCCAACCATTTCCAATACCGGATAGCATTGCACGTCGTGGTAATCGGTGTTCGGGCATACGTAACACGTGGCCCAACCATCTCAGTCGATGAAGATTCACAACCTCATCAACTGATTTACCATCATTTCCTAATACCCTGCGTCTAACCTCACTATTACTTACCCGGTTATCCCAGCAGACGCCAGCAATATTTCTTAGGCATCTGTGGTCAAATACTAATAGCTTACGAGTGTCTTCTACTCTCAATGACCATGTTTCGCTGCCCTAAATTAAAACAGAACGGACTGCCGCGCAATATACTCGTCCTTTTATTGATAGACGGATATCTCGCCTTCGCAGCAGCTGAAATAGTAAGTTCTCACAAAGAAAACATCAGCCAAAGATCCTGGGACAATACAAATAGAAAAATTATTAAACATGAAAAACACTAGCACATAGGGTTTTTAAATCTATGAATCATCGACAAACTTACGGGATTCCAATAACATAGTCCAAACGGATACTTAATTCATCAAGTAGCCAATTAAGTGTTGTCCAATCAATAGAACTCACATTGGATACTTGATTATCATTACACTTCACTATCCATGGCCAAGAGCTTAGACCTAAAACAATGGCACTGAGATCCAATTCGCGAAAACAAGTGGTCAATTCACGTAAACTTGGCTAGTAAAGTGAAATAGAATAGCTCCAGTTTTTATTAGATTTACTTAAAAGTTATTGGTAAATAATCCGAACACAAAAACAAATGAAATTAAACAGATTAAAAGAAAACAAAATATAAAACGGAAATAAAATTAGGAAACTTATCAGTGTCTTAAGTATGCAATTGTTATTTTTCACCAAGCAACCACAAGAGATGTGATTTTTTGAATGACAAGAAATGCTAAAATTCTATGCTTTTTAACATTAAATATTACATCCGTGTCGTGCAACAGAACAAATCTGATTTTAGAATCCATAAAAATGGAAGCCTGGTATTAATTTTAACCCTTAACTGGGAGGTGTATGTTAGATAAGAATCGTTTGTCCCTAGATTTCTGTAAATTAAAATAAACAACCAAGACGAGTTTACCAAGAATGAGGAAAATATCGTTCAAAAGGTGTTTGATTCTTTTTTCCTACTGACCTTCTATCTACCTGGCTTGATCAAGCCTAGGATTTAACAACAAAATAGACTATCAAGTTATACAAATATAAACCATTATTCTACAGATCAACATTTGGTTCGAATATGGTAGGGAAACGAATGAATACACCTCCAATACTGGGACAGATTATAAGCTATGTCGATAACACTTACTGTGTCGATGCCTAACATGAAGTCTGCAACTCCTGGGAAGATTCAGTCCTACAGTCAATGGCTTCAATGACAGATCCTGGTCTGGCAGTTGCAATATGACATTTCACTACACAGTAACCTATTAAGACTGATGAGACCTCGAATGTAGGTGAGGTTATCAATGAGCTTAATTACTTCACTCCATATGACTAAACTATCTTTTGACGTAGACCAGTCCTGTATTAGTTGGAAAGACAAATTATCCAGCTCAGAGGACGAAACTCCACTAAAATCGTCCACTGGAGCTACAAAACTTCTCCATCTCGAACATATCACCAGTATTATGTGATCGTCAAACAAGGTATTTAAATGGCTTCAAAATTTGTCAGTATCGTTACGTAACTAGGTCATCTGCATAATCTAAACCAATGAAGGTAGTGTATGATTTCACCTAAAACCACGTCAACTCAGGTTAATGTAAGCGAGATTTCCATCGTTTCAGGATTTGAAAACCAGATGGAGGGATCGTTTCAGAAAATCCTTAGATACATTTTTTAATTATCCCTCAAGTTTATAACTTCCCTACCACATAATGTATCAAATAGAATTCCTATCTCTTTAATGATGGTCATAAAAATATTTAGCCAATCAATCCGTAAAGAAAAATTTTGATAACAAAACACGATAGAATAAAACCTCTGGCAAGTTCGCTAATCATGTCCTATCAAAACTTATAATGTTTGTTTGATAATTTCTGTTTAAATTTAATGTTTCCTTTGAAGCTCATTGAAGCCCCTGTAATCATTAATAAAAACAAACTTTTTTCTACAGGAGGGATAAGTTTAAACGTGAATACAACATAGGCACGTTAGGGTCTAGCGAATTAGGTGCGCGACATTTAAATTCTAGAAACTAAGTAACTCTGGAGTAAATCCCTTACTCACATCTCTCCTTTTTTTCGTTTTTGTTCCAGCCTAACATGTAGAAGTAGTTTGAGGTACAGTGATCGGGTAGGAAAGCAGTAAAAAACGTTCGTGGCAAACTTGTTAGTTTAAAATCAAGATCACCAAGTCTTCGTTTGGTTGAATTTATATGTTTAACTTTAGTGGTAGTAACAGTAGTAAATACTTACTGCTCTAATGACGGGGATGACTGGAAAAATAGTTTTAATACGTGTAAAAAAACATGGGGAAAATGAAACTTAGACTAAGAAAGCTCAAAATATTTTATGTAACTTTTACGTGAGAGAATAATTAGGAACCAAAAACCAAACAATATATTATGCTAAAAGGCAGTCAAACATGAACGAAGTTATCAATCTGACGAAAAATCAATTTGCCTGAAGTACACATTTCTTCAGTTCCACTAGACTATAAATTATTGGTCTATACAGTCAAAATGTTGTGTGATTGGTCAAGATTAAAGACAGACATGTGGATTAACTACATTAAATAGAAGGGATTAAAACGCTTTCGTCTAACCTGTACCTCTATGCTAACACATTTCTTGTTATCACTGTTATTTGATTGTCAATAGAACAGCTGGCCTTGTGACTGTGTACCGCGTGGCTGAGTAAAAATCATGTCATCATAATTATTTGTGAATGATTCACGTATAAATTATGAAATAACAAATAGACAAAACCGTTTATCTTTAAACCTAGAATATTAACATTTTGGTTATTCTACATTTTTTAAACGTATACTTGAAATTTTTTGTTTTAACGGATTAATGCATTCTAGAATAGTTTTTAAGTTACTCAGATCTTTAGCTTAATAATTATTAGAGATGGGAATTCATACAGTTTAAAACACAAATCGATAGTGTTTATGTTATCTATACATCGGTTGAATTATTAGATTTTAGGTATTATATTAGAAATTGTATCATGCGAACCACATATTCAGCTTAATTATCGAATGTTATACATCGAGAACCGTAAATTCATTTCAATAATTGAGTTTAAATAATAATATTAGCTGAAAAGAAGTGAAGATTAACACGTGAATATCTGTATAAAATACAACCCAGCAAATTCCGATGCTAAAGAAACATTAACATACCATCACACAGAGTTTATCAGATTTAATTGCTTTTCTACTGACTTTAGCCATTTTGGATGATTTAACAAAAACAGTCTTTTTGCCATGTTTCCTTGAGATTTGCGGTGAATCGCTCTGCTGAATTGCATTAGATTCATCTTGTGAAACAGCTGAATCACTCATTTCAGATAAATTGTCATCTTGATTTTCATTTACGTTATCCCATTGACTTTCGATTGTGTTCTCTAATGCTTTTCTACGCTTTACAATACTTAAGTTGGAGGAGACATGTGTTTCTTTTCCTTTAGAACATGTACCAAATCTTGAGCTGGAATTATTTCTTTTTCGGCTGAAAGTTGATTACATAGAAGAACTAACAGAAGTGTAAAAAAGGTCATTAGGAATTTCTAGCTTAAGGTAAACTGTTTTACTATAATGTTCCCAGGACTAAATAATAATGATTGATATATGGTAAATGATATGAGATCATCATAACATTTTTAACTACTTTAAACTATACACTTTTCTCCGTCAATATGATGCAAATCAAAAGCACTGATTGTTTTGTATTGCATGCTTAAAAAATCAGGTAGAACTGTTGTGCGAGTACACTCTACAAATTATCAGACAACAGCTTGTGGTAATTTATCTCCAGATGGAGAAAAGTGAGAAAATCACTAGTTGTTTTGTGATTTATGCTTGTTGTCGTGAGATTTCGATTAAGTACCACAGTATTACTTAGTCGTTAATTATCGCTTATTTCTTTGGTTTTCCTTCCTGAATACCAAAGTGAAAGGTGAACACATCAATTTTCCGACTTCATTCAAGAAATGTGATATATCAGAATGAAAAGTGAAATAATGGTGAGTCCTAGAACTAATTTACAGATTACTAATATGTATATTCTTAAATAATAAGTACTGAATAACTGGATTAATATGTATATTCCATTTATATGTCCCAGTTAACCAATTAATTAATGCTATACGACCTACTACTCCTAATTTGTTGCCAGTCTACTATCTGCAACTTCTTTTATTCACAGCCGCTTTTGGATTGTTCACGTATATTAGTTATTTCTCATTTTAAGATGTGATGCAGACTGGTATGTCTGTATATAAGCCACGTTTGTATGATTGGTCAATTCGACAACAATAGGCTGTAGAGGAAATAGAAGCAGAATAGGTAGCAATTCCAACTAGAATTCTGATTGGTGACTTGTCACATAATATTGGTCAGCGGCTCCAAGACACAGCAAAATGTATCTGAGCTACAGAAGGCCATAAGGTGATCACTGTATTCAAGTTAACTTGCAGTTACCCAGACTCACTGATGTCTTCGATATCACAAGTACACAGAACTGGATATTTTATGTATGGCGAAAATTTATCTTTTATGATTATGATAGTTGGAGATAAAGAATTTTTTAAAAATAACGCGTAAAAAGGGAAATAGATTGATATGATAGATGGTTTACAATGTTTTCCTTTCTACACACATATTAAGATAATACGTTAATAAGACTAATCATGTAATGTCAGAACCAGGATTCGCGACTCCGAAATAGAGAACCAGATTAACACTAGAGAATACTTGACCGAATACAATTACAAGCAGTCATACACAGTGAGTCCAGAGTAGAAATAAATGATAAGAAGGAAAATCACATATTTAATAGACCGTAAGCTGTGGATGTCTGTCTACGCTCGACGACCAATCATACTTTACTTTCATTACCACACATAACAGATGCTATGAGTAACAACCATAATGTAACATACACAACTCACAGAAACTTCCCTCCTTTCTTTGAAACGACAATGTATCAAGTTATGAAATACTGGTGAAAATATTGAAATAGGTTTAGCGTATCTACCCACATTTGATATGTATCAATGAAAAATAATGGGGATATAAGCCTTTAGGTGTAAAGAAACACCAGTCTAACAAGAAAGACCATCAGCGATTATATAAGGATTTGAGAAGTAACACTGAATACTTGATGTAACTGCTAAAAATAAACCCACATTTGTAAGACTGCAATAATCACACTAATAATCAACATATAACGGTACATTAATTTCTAAAAACACTTTGTTTGAATGGAGATTCTCCACTACGTTTTTAGCATTACATGAATATTGGATTGCTTACAAGCAAGTGTATTGGATAACAGAGATTAGTGAGAGAAGGGATGGGTATGAGTATGTTCGGAAATGGAAGTAACAGCGAAACAACGTACCCTGAAGAGCAATCTATATCACCAGACAGAAATGACTGCAAATGAACACCACAATTAAACCAAACTTGATTAACTTCTTTATTGTAAGAAGCAAAATGATTAGAAAAACACGTTGCAGGTTGATAAGTAGCAGTAGGGAAGAATAGACTCGACGAAGAAACCTTATACTCACTGTCGGTTGACATACGATGAGACTGAAATCCAGGGTTTTCCATATCGGATATCTCAACTGCATCTGGTTGTTGGACGTCCTTCGTTCTGAATGCTATTACTAAGTAATAATAGAGACAATGACGAAGTTTTGCAATCTGAATGAGACGCAAAAGGATTGATAAATAATGTATACGAGTTGAATTAAACACATTAGTTGATGCAACTGCATGAAAGTGAAAATTTTGTGAACTAGACGAATTGGCAAACAGTAACTTAGAAGCGAAAACGTTGACAGTTTCTATGAACCAGTTGATAGTTCCTATGACTAAGTAAGGCTCCTCAATGCTGACTGGTTCATTCGCCGTGATCAACTGGGTAGCCTCGCTGTTCAAAAACATGTTTGGCACTAGGACTGGACAACCCAAAAGGGCATCGATGGCTGAAAAATAAGTATTAAAAAGTACCACTGAGTTATCATAAACAGCTAATTATGCAACATTTACTAATACTACAAAACCACCATCTCATCAACAAAATTGTTAAGAATGATATTACCGGTAAAAGTAATTCCAGAGTATATAATAAAACGGAGTAACAGTAATTATTTGTGAACCTCAGATGGTTGAAATAAATTACTAGTCAAACCAAACTGGTATTTATAGCTAGTGAACTGGTTATTTTGTATGTTTATATCTGGAAAGTACAATGTTTCGCCACACTTTTTATTACTGACGAAGAATGTACACAGTTTATGAACTAACAGAATGTAAAATCAGACAACTGAATAAAAGTACAAGAGGAAAACAGGTTCAAAGTATTGCAGTTTGCTGAAAATCGAACAGTGACAATGCAAAACAGAGAACAATCAAAAGACGCTATCAAAGCACTGATGAGATATTTGCCTTTGATTGGATTGTGGTTGCTAGTAATCAAATGTTATTCAACGAGTAACACCGGAATTCACATGATTCGAATTTTCTTTTTTCACAAAAAAACAAGAGAAATGGAAAGTCTTACAATCAGAAGTGACAACTAGAGACGGTTCACGAAGGTTAATCAGTGGTGCACACCAAATACCAAAGAGCTAGGAAAGTTCTGATTTACTACGACCATTTTGTTAATGGTAAGACTATATGTCACTTTACACTCTGACGTATTTTTCAAATGAAGTGTCAGAGAGGTATCGTACGTCAGTATTTACCTGAAATTTCATAAACCTGAGAGTAAAGTACTATAATTTATTAGCCAGCTTACAGAAAACACTGCTTCTCAAACATTACGTTAACAGACATTTTATTCAAATAGGTGTAAAAATACAGAATTTTCCAGATTTTTTTACCCTAGAACTTACGGAATGTAAGAATTCCTGTTAAAGCATCAAGTATCTAAACTTGAGGAAATTATGAAACACAAAAAACATTCATTACTTTTCAATATAAAAAGTAAATGACTAACTATCTAAATTTCCACCATTTTGATCTGCCTCTACAATTGCTATCAAATTTAAATATGCAGGTAATAAAAGAGGACTCGAAGCAGATGAATTCTCCAAACTTGCCCCTTTGAATAAACGTTGATTAGCTGAGCATCTGACCCATGAGGGTCCCAAAGCAACCGCGACTTCACATAGACTCGGTTTATGCAATGAAAATTGAGGTAAATAATTTTGTAAAGGAGCGTTATCCAAAACGAAATCATCCTGAAAATAAATTGGAAGAATGAAGCTTAAAAAGGAATAAAAATGATTACTTTTATCAATACAGTAGATAATACAGTTATTTCAAGTAAATTCATTACATCAATTCAAATTTTACCACTGATTTGTTATCCACTACTAAGTTATACCCTGAACTAGTGGTATGTATGTACATAATTACGTCAACAGTTGTCGATTCAAATCCCATAGTGGTAGAGGTAATAAGAGTATAAACAGTAATCGGAAAGATAAGGGTTTGAAGATAAATAAATAAATTTGGAAAGAGAAAAAAAGAGACAAGGAGCAATCAGGAGATTAGAATTTGGGAGAACACAAAGAGAGGGATGCACCTGCGCCATTGCAAACGATTTTGAGTCATGTCATTCAAGGTCTCTAACCATCGGTTGCTATCATCTCGCGGTCCCCAACCAGGTAGTCTACACCTACCGACATGACTCAGTCCACTTGTCAGTGACTTCATGGATTTGTGCCATGTTTTGGTCTGGCCGCCCCTAGCTTTCTTCCAACCTACTCCTATACCACTGAACATCGCACGTCGAGGCAGCCGGTCGTTGAGCATACGTAACACGTGTCCCAGCCATCTCAACTGATCAACTTTCACTACTTCATCAATTGATTTGCCATCCTTACCTAGTACCCGTTTCCTAACAACTGTGTTACTTACTCGATGGTCCCAGGATATACGTGCAATATTTCGGAGACACCTATGATTGAATACTAGTAACCTACGAATATCCTCTACTCTTACCGGCCACGTTTCACTGCCATAAAGCAGGACGGAACGGACTGCTACACAGTAACACGTCCTTTGGTTGGTAGACGGATATCTCGCCTATGCCATAAACGACGCAAGTTAGCAAAAGCTAGTCGAGCCTTCTGTATCCGTGCTGAGACTTCGTCATTCACCAGACCACAAAGGCTGATGAGACTTCCAAGATAAGTGAAGCGGTTGACACGCTCAACTACTTCACTACCTATCATTAGTTCGGGTGTCGATGCAACCCAATCCTGAAGCAACACTTTGCATTTCGAGGGAGAGAATCGCATGCCGAACATGCTTGCATTGTTGCCTAGAGTGGTCAGAAAACTCTGCATTTTGTCAGCGTCTTCACCAAATAGAACTATGATATCAGCATATTTCAAGTCAAAAAGTGAATCTCCCAGTAGACGTTCAACTCCTGGAAATTTAGATTAGGAATGTGTCATCTCTAAAAGTATGTCAACGACAAAGTTAAACAAGAATGGAGAGAGTGGACAGCCCTGACGAACACCACTTGAGGCAATCAATTCTGATTACAGTTCGCCATAAGCTCTCACTCAACCAGTTGTGTTCGAGTAGAGAGCCTTTACAAGGTTACTGTACTTCTTTGGTACTCCTTTCAGTGACAAACACTGCCATAGAACCTCACGATCAACAGAATCGAATGCTGCCTCAAGGTCGAGAAATACTAAGATTGTGGGGCGTCATAAATGTGTGTCTGTGTTCTAGAACCTGACGTAGTGTGAATATATCTGATCTATATAACCACGTTATTTATTTATTTATTTATTTGAACACATAAATATTGGTACAAGAGAGCGCCAATATATATGCGCCACACAAAACAATGAAAATTCGAAGAGAGATAGAAAAAAAAAACTAAGGACCACAATAGGTAGTGTGGTCGTAACGATGGAACAGAAAGGTACAATCAGAAGAAATCTTTCAAGTAAGGGAGACACAACCACTATTATGAAGAAAGTAAAAGAAGGTTACAGCAGGATCGCCACTGGCTTCTATTCTGAGCCATATCTGATAACGTCTCTAGCCACTGTGTAGCACCATCTCTCAGACCCCAACCAGGGAGTCGTGAAGGACCGACAGAAGCCAGTCCTTTGCAGCTTTCTTTCATACCACGGCACCATGTCATGCACTGACCACCTCTCCGCTTTTTCCAACCAGTCCCAGAGTCGGCAAATAATGCACGACGAGGAATTCTCTGGGACGACATTCGTAGAACATGTCCAAGCCACCGAAGTCGGTGTTTCAAGATGGTGACACCAATTGAATTATCATCTCTGTGCCCGAACACACGATGCCGAACCTCTGCATTACTGACATGGTGTTGCCACTGAATGTCAGCAATCCTTCGGAGACAGCGATGATCGAACACAGAGAGTCGTCTAACGTCCTCAACTCGGAGAGGCCAGGTTTCACAAGCATAGAGCAAAACTGCTCTCACCGACGCGTTGTAGATCCGACCTTTTACAGCCAGACTAACATCACGAAGGCGCCAAAGGTGGCCCAGATTGGCATAAGCCGCTCTGGCTTTCACTATACGTGCATTGATCTCATCACTCACACCCCCACCAGCACTTATGCAGCTACCCAGATACACGAACTTCTCGACTACGTTTATCTGCTCACCATCCAGGGTGAGTACAGGATTGGAATCCTGCCAGTCTTGTAGAAGTACTTTGCACTTCGAAGGTGCAAAGCACATACCATACCTACGGACACTGATTGCCAACTGATTAAGTGCAGATTGCATGCCTTGGGCATTATCGCACAGTAAGACAATATCGTCCGCATACTCAAGGTCGAGAAGTCTTTCTCCAGGCAACAGATCCACACCACCATTACTTACATTCATCAGAGCTGTTTCCAGAATGTCATCGATGGCAAAGTTGAAGAGGAATGGTGAGATTGGGCAACCCTGCCTAACCCCACTACTCGAATGGAACAATGGAGAGAGGTGGTTGTATGCCCTCACTCTGCCTGAGGTGTTTTTATATAGGGCTTTTAGGATGTTAATAAACTTCTCAGGCACACCCTTCTTCAATAGACAATCCCAGAGAACAGTCCTGTCCAACGAATCGAAGGCAGCCCTAATGTCAAGAAACACTACGATTGTTGGCCTTTGATAAGTATGGCGGTGTTCTAACATTTGGCGGAGGGTGAAGATATGATCAATACAACCTCGACCAGAACGAAACCCAGCCTGCTCCTCGCGAGTCAATCTTTCTCGGGTTTTGAACAACCTACGAAGTATGACGGAAGCCAATAGCTTGGACGCAATCGGAAGTAGACTTATCCCCCGATAGTTGTTGCAGGAACGACGTGAACCCTTTTTAAAGATAGGGACAACTATCGACTCATTCCATGACGTTGGTACACTTTCTAATTCCCAAACCTTTGAAAACAACGTCGTCAATTCCTTAGTCAAAAAGTCACCACCATCTTTAAAAAGAGCCGGAGGTAAGTCATCTGGGCCAGGTGATTTGTAACGCTTCAAGAGTTGGAGTTCCTTGCGGACTTCCTCCTCGTTTGGTGGATCAGTCGTCACCGGCCATGGAGGGCAGGACAGTCTGACCGATGTTGCCGGAGCAGCAGGCCAGTTGAACTGCCCTTCGAAAAATTCTGCCCATCGTCCAAGACGTCGATGGATGTTAGTGATTGGCATCCCATCATCCTCGCAGATTGTTTCACTCACACCAGACTTCTTGCTGCCAGTGGCTCGGATGAGCTGGAAGAGCTTCCGGTAGTTACCAGATGCAGCTGCTGCTTCCAGCTCATTAGCACGCTCCGACCACCAGGCTTCTCAGTCCTTACGCAAGCTTTGCCCAATTTCCCTACGTAACATCCTTCGTTTATGGTCAAACTCACGGTCACCCGGAGTGGACCGACGGGCTTCAATGAGTTGTAAGGAACCAGAAGAAACCCAGTGCTTATCAGCGGGACGTTTCGCGAACCCACAACTGACTGTTCCCGCCATTTTCATGGCGTCAAGCAATTGCAGCCAATGCTCATCTATACTTTTCGGTGGGGTGGTAGCTAGCCTAGAGGCTAGCTCGGTTCGATACTTATTTGCAACAGAAGTTGCAACCAACTTGCTGACATCAATCCTTTGATGGTGGTCACTTCGTTGTCCACTGAAAAGTAAGGCAAGATTGGCGCAGACCAAGGCATGGTCAGAGTCCAGATAGGTACTCCAAAAGGAGCGGCAGTCTTGTACACAACCACGCCAGCGGTAGCTGATCGCGATGTGATCAATCTGAGTCCAGGCATGGGATGCAGAGGAAGGACGCCAGGTGGCACATCGGCGATGACTGTGCCGAAGGTTAGTGCTAGCCAGAAACAGGTTGTGGTCTGTGCAAAGTTGCAGTAGACGGTCCCCGTTATCTGACCTGCGACCAACGAGTCCCCATCGGCCACCTAAACGACTCTCTTCTGTGCCTAGACGCCCGACCTGAGCATTCAAGTCTCCGGCCAGTACTACAATATCTGTCGAGCGCACTTTCTGGAGAAGAACAGATAATTGGTGGTAAAACTCATCCTTGATTGCATCCGGGCTGCAATCTGTCGGGGCATAGGCAGAGATGACGAAAAGACATCGTTTCTCACGCCGATTTCTTCTCACTTGGATGGAACTTTCTAATCTAACAGCACATAGCCGACTGTTAATGGGGATCCAATCAACTAGTGCTGCCTCAGCTCTAGCGCTTAGTGCGACACCAACGCCAGCAAGACCAAACGAAGATGCCACAGGGTCCCCGGATAAGCGCACGTAAAACAAGCTTTTCGAAGCGACAGATGGAGATCGAATTTGTAGTACTTCGCCAGAGTCTTGAATACGGGTCTCGGATAGACAACAAACATCAATATTAAGACTTTCCAAAGACATAGCCAGCCCTATCTGTTGTCCGACCTGCACTAGTGTGCGAACGTTGAAGGCAGCCAGTTTGAATGGTGCACGTGGTTTCAGAAAAACTGCTTCAGTTCTCGTAATCGGTGGTAACATACAATTTTCAACCGGACAGTGACTCGAGAACGTTTAGATACAGTCGAATTTCCACCAAAGACGAGCCGCTGTATAAGTATAAAAGAGGGTGAACAATGTGGAAAATAATAATAATAATAATAATAATAATAATAATAATAATAATAATAATAATAATAATAATAATAATAATGACAATAATGGTATTAATAATGACAATAATAGTAATAATTATTTGAATCGATTGAATGTTGATCGGAGCGAGGAAATTAATTGCAATAGTTATAGAGTTCATGGTTTGTGTGTGGGCTGTGATACTGCCCGGGTGCCCAAACCGAAGCAGGTGGTTATCTTAGGGGGCCACACCCCGAGCCTTTGACCTAATGGTCTAACCCACAAGGCAGTGGAGCATCGTAAGGAGATGCAATCCCATGGTAGCCGGTGACCAACGATTGGTTCATACGCCATTTGTTCCCGCAGGATACTGGAGCCCATGTGCACCATTGCTTTGTGATCCGGTTAAAGCGCCGGACGTTCGCTTTTCGTCCTCTCATTTTCGTAAACAACACCCCCGCCACGAGAAGGCAATGAGTAGGACTTCCCTGGCAGAGGCTGTATACGCGCGGCCGTGTGAGAGTATTTCGAGAGGGAGAGCGGACTCTCTCCACTCTCGGCCGTACCAGGGCGTTCGGGAGCATATATATATAACCACGTCCAGGTCGAAAACCAGTCTGGTTTTCTCTAGTCCGCTTTTCACGAGTTTTGGTTAGGCGTCGAAGTATTATTGAAGCTAATATTTTAGACATTATATTAGTCAAACTGATTCCTTTGTGATTGTCACAAGAGGACTTTTGTCCTTCCTTATACACTGGCACAATCAGTGATTGAGACCAGTCAGATGGGATTACGTCCAGTTCCCAAATTCTACCTAAGACCTCAGTTAATCTCACTCCTAATACTGAACCACCATCCTTAGAAATCTCAGAAGTAAACCTGTCAAGGCCTGCTGCTCTCCCTCGCTTCAGATTTCCTATAGCTTTTTCAACTTCATAAAGAGTCGGATGACCTATATTAACTTGCCATACAGGTTGACTAGCGATCGTGGGAAACCGAAGTGTGACTGAAGGCCAGTTGAACTGATCTATAAAGTGTTCTGATCATCGATCCAATCTCCTGGATTGAGAATGTATGATATATCCATCTTTCTCTGAGATTGTTTCGCTAACAGTCGGTTTCCTTAACAAGTCTGAACAGTTGTCTGCTATAACCTATTGCCACTGCCTTTTCCATCTCTCTTGTTTTCGCTACCCACCACTGTCCACGATCATTACGTAGGCTTCTTGTCAGCTTACGCTTAAGCTAACTCCGCTCTTCGTCATGTTGAGAGCCAGATGGAATGAGTTTTCAAGCATCTATCAGTGCGGTAGATGCTGTTGAGATCTAGTGTTACTCCCTAACCTTATGGTTCACCTTACTAGGAGATATCACTGCTGTTTCCATAGCTTTTCGGATATCATTCCAAGCTGCCTCGGGGTGGACATCACTTACATGGCTGCCTAACTGTTTTTCTAGTTGTTCCTGAAATATACTCTTAGCTTGACTATCATGATCTGAATCCAGGCATGTGCTCTAGAGTGAGTGATGGTCTTCCATCGAGCCACTCCATCGGTGGCTGATAGCGATGTGATATAGTTCGGTCCAACGTTGGAACGAATTAGGGGGTCGCCATTTTAAAAGATGTTTTTCCTTATGCTTAAAGTTGGTATTTGCAAGGAACAGACGGTTATCTAAGCATAGCTGCAACAGACGGTCGCCATTATCTGTTCTTTCCATTTCGCTTAGTTTACCTACTTGAGCATTAAAGTCACCGGCCTCTATTACTACATCAGAGCGCTTAGGTTTTCGGAGAAGGTCGGAAAGCTTTCTGTAAAACTCATTTTTCACATCATCTGAGCTGCAGTCAGTGGGAGAATAGGCAGAGACGATGAAGAGGCAACGACGAGTGTCCCTATCTTTCCGAATCCTTATTATTCCGTTTAGTTGGACAGCTCACAAACGACTGTCTACTGGGATCCAGACTAAGAGAGCTAGTTCTGCCCTAGGACTCAATGCTATACCTACGCCGACAAGGCGACGAGAAGCAGCATCTGGGCTTCCAGGTACACGAAGTGTGAATCGAGTTGGTTCTTTGTTTTGACATGGTGATGTCAAATGAATGACGCTACTCGGATCCTGTATGCGCGTTTCAGAGATGCAGCATACATCGATGGCGCGAGATTCTAAAATCCTAGTTGAGGAAGCCTGGTGTCCTACTTGGCATAGTGTTCGGACGTTAAAAACTCCAACATGAAGTTTAGAGCGTGGTTTCAGGAGACCAGGAATAGCATTCCGCGCACTCGAATCGTTTGCCCTAGCAGTGTGAGGTGATAAAAGGACGTGAGAAGGGTTAGTCGGGGAGATAAGATTGGTATTAGGAGGTGTAGGAAGGATTTGAATGTGATCAACATGGTCTCGTGTGTTGTTATGGGTGTGAGGGCTGATGTCACTTCACGTCTGCCCACACAGTGGAAGGGTATTTCTTGAGGAACCTGAAAAGGAAGTTGGATTAATGTTGGCCTTAACGGCCTGGGGGCGTGACCGCAGAGTTCAAGGGACAACTGCTTGAGGCCGGTCGCGCACGCCTTTTTTGTGGGAGGTTTTCGACGTGTTAGCTCCGTTCTTCAAGAGGGCCTCACCGCCGGAGACGGAAATCCGTGAGGTAAAGTGAGGTGTGACAATTTTAGGATCGACTTTTCCTAACCCTTCCTTTTTTGTGAGAAGGCAGCATCGCTGCAGATGCTGATTGTCCGAGGGAAACACCTTACTGCTGTCACTTTCCTCTACAGTCAGTAGCACGACTTCGCCCTCAGACCTTGAGTTGCTGCTTTTAGTCTTACCGTTCTCCAATCGACCTGCCTGGCATGGTAGAACATACAGGAACATATGTTCCAGCCAATATAACTCGGTTGGGTCATTACGATAAGCAAGCCCGACCACCGCGTCAAGGTAGCAGCTACGGTTGGGTCAGTGAGCTGTGAAATTTCTAAAATCTCCACAAACCCCTTCTGATAATAATCATTTGCTCACTAGTGACTGACTTCAAGAGATACTCCTGGAGTTCTAGTGAGAAGCCGTTACCAGTGGAGTTCAACCAGGTCTGTTGTGAGATATCAGCTCACTGAAGACAATGGTATACGGTAGCGCAACTTCATGGATTGATTGAAGTTAGACATTAACACCATTGGATGCCGGCTCAGTGGTCTAGTTGGTTAAGCGCTTGGCGCGAGACTGATAGGTCCTGGGTTCGAATCTCGCGGGGTGCGGGATCGTGGATGCGCACTGCTGAGGAGTCCCATACTAGGACGAAACGGCCGTCCAGTGCTTCCAGGTTTTCCATGGTGGTCTAGCTTCAATTGACTCACGATTTCAATCTGTGAAATTTCTAAAATCTCCACAAACCCCCCTTCTGAATAGCAGTATGAGTTTATCACATATGAAAAGAAAAACATCTTGCTGAATGATTTAAATAATACATATATGGGAATAGGACTAAAGCAATTAAGTAAAATTAAACAGAGTTCAAAAATAATTAAATCCAACAGAAAAATGTGACTACTAACCTGGAAATGGCGCATGATTCGAGCACCCATCCAAATGACAAGCTTTTTGCCTTCTCCGTAAAAGGGAGATTCATTAATAGATCCATGATCTAAAATGGATTGACTTGTTCTGTACTTATCACTTAGTTGAGTTAATCGATTAAAACAAAATGCCAGTTCGTCTAACCAAAACACCATTAGTTGACAATATGAACTAACTGAATATTCGACCAATCCTATCAGTCTTAGCAGGAGACGAGAAGGTGGCGTTATAAGGTGAGAAGAATGAGAACAGTTAGCACCTGTATCTTCCTCACTGTCACCAACTGACAGATGAACATCACATGGGTCATCAGCAAGTTCTGTGCCAGGAACTTTCAAGCTCAATGAACTAGCATTACTGCTTCGACTAGTATTCGTAGTATATGTACTGCTTCGACCGCTATCCACATGGGCAAGCTGTGAAGCTAACACAGCAGACTATGAAAATGAAGTTCACAGGATGAAAAAAAATTGCTGAAATAGAAACTAGACATAAGGAATATAGCTTACAGGTAACAAATCAGATCGAATAAAAATTATGAAATGATAGTAAATTGAAGGTTCAGAGGAAGATGATAAATCAGTACAACTGAGCCATTGAGACCGATTCTAGGTCGTATTACTTAACTTCTCGAGCCATAAATAATGGTTATTTCGTTAGTCCCAACTTGTTCGATCACACATCTTCGTGTGGTTCATATCACTGGGCAATCAGTTTGACTACCTTTACCTCTCTATCGCCTTGTTACTAAGGTATTTAATAATGTGTGCTGACAAGCAAAAATAAGGATTACACATAAAATATATACTAATGTCCACTTACAGTGTCTTTATGGACTAACGATCAATAACCAATGAATTTCTCGTCTGTTCTCAGCCTACTAATCACAACTCCTGAAGGATCCAGTCAGGTGTTTCGTATTATTCGGACCCATGAGATTATGTACATAAAATACGAGACCACAACGAATGGCTGTTAATGAATAAATCATTAGAACATTTATAGCACAAACGTAAGGAATCGGCTTATGATTCATTGGAAGGGTTGAAAAAGTTTCGATACACTCTCCAAATAATATTACATATTCGCCATAAGTTTTGTTATCAAAACGCAACTGAACTAATACATCCAACATATCAATCAGCTACCGTGACGATTTACTAACACAACTATTAGTTAGAGTTGATATAAAATAGAAAGAGAACAATTACAAAGTAGAAAATGTATTTTATTTTACTGAGAACTTAAGATGAACCCAGACGAATTCCTGTCTCTCCAAAAGATGATAAAGTAAAAACTCAACTAAAAATTGATTATTCCCATTGATTTTAATGTTAAGGAGCTCCTTTAGCAACTGTGAAATTTCATACAAGGTAATCATGTAGGACATTCAAGATTCACCAAACAACTGTAACGACTGAAAGTTCAAGAGAACGAATATGCGTTTACTCTAGACAAACTAGTTTCATTTTAAGATAAACCCTTCCAGTTTACAAAGATGGGGAATACTTGACTTTAAAGGAAAAATTTACTATCCAGTTAAAAGATGATGGTGATGTTACAAATTAGTTAAAAAATATCTCAAAATGTCCATAGAAAGAATGACAGACATAGCATATCAAAATATTGATCCAATGGAGCGAAAAACAGCGGAATGGCAATGAGTAAAATGAAAGCGCAGAAACTTGTGAAAGGTGTCAACATCAAACGCTAATTAGTGGAAAACAATCAAGATGTGTACAAACCCCATATTTTACGGTAAACTAATTTGAAAAAAATTCAATCTAACAAAAATATGCACCGTACACACTCCAAATTAATATTTAATTTCCTATTGTCTACAAGTTTACAGTTTGAATTCCTGCATTTAAGGATACGTTCTCATTTAGTCATCACATGCAGCTGTTAAAGTTCGACGACAGTCCTAAAATCGATTGAAACCACTAGTAACATCTCCCTTAATAAAAAAAGATGATTTATGTACAGCACACCGGTCATACTCAATAAACGGAGTTATAAAAAAAAACAATAAATTCTTCCAGACTACAAAGAAAAATTCAAACAAAGAGTAAAAACGAAGTACTATTCTAACTAATCACAAACAACAAACCTACAAAATTAAAAGATTTCAATCAACATTATTTAGTTACTTGAGTAAATATAAATATAGAATTATCTGTTGATACCACGAAAATGGAATTACAATCCTCATTTAAATTCATTTACAGTTCGTATATACTAAAAATCGGAGCATCTGGCATATTTAAAATATCTTTGAATAAACATTTTAGACTGACATAAAATCACAAGAATAGGATTACAAGACAATTAAATCCTAACGATACCAGCTTGAGGAAATCAAAACCTGAGAAAAGCCCAAAGCGTATTGTTGACTGGTAGTTTTTGTTTAATAGTTATGATGTCGCAAATTTCCTTAAACAGCATGAAAATGAATCAAGGCTAAGGCTAGAAAAAATATACTCACCCAGAAAATAAGTAGAAGAGAAATCCAAAATAACCGAAATCGTAGGAAAACAAACTTACGTCATCTTCATTCAGTGAAAGACAAGTAGCCGAATTGCGTTCTATGTTTTTCAATGAAGAGTCCCTCTTGCAGATTACTTCAATTATTGCAACAGCACCGATTATACCCACACATTTCGAAAATAATGACTGACTTGACAGCAGCTTACGAACAAACAGCAGTAAACTGTCCTGTTGTTCGCGATGTTCTCTGATTCTATTAAGGAACAGAAAGAATTTTAAGGTGAACATGTATATACATGAAGGTATGAAACTAATTTCGTGCATCTAACAGTTTATAATTAATGAGTGAGTTCAATTGAGTTCAATAACAAGAAATAAAAACCAGACTAATGTCTACAATTTAGAATATCTACGGAACCAGTGAGTTGGGATGATACTATACTTAAATGTGAAGGTATCTGCCAAAGCAGTTATCAGTACAACAGAAAGAGCAGGTTGACTTGAATTAAATGAACGTGTTTCGAAATGTTCTCGCCCAAGAGAAAGAGACTTCCACTATTGTAATTTCAAGATGTTCCATTGACATACAATAAATAAGTACTTGGAATGCATCAGATTGATTAATAAGCAACTAAGACCTAGTCATCTTAAATTTCCAGAGGCTATCAAACGTCTAAATCTGATTTTATTTAAAAACAAAGTGCTGTTAATCTCCCCTTATCCGAGTAACATCACATTTTTGTTATTTGGTGACACCATTTCTCAAGTTTCTTCCTCGTCAATGAACTTAGTTTAACTGATTGACCTTAACCCATGAATTATTATTTATGTTTTTTCTCAGTTACTCTGCTGTGTAAAATATTATCCTAATTGGTGTTTCAGAACCTTTATTGCACAAGATATCTAATTACAATGTATAGTCAAATCCTTAATATTTCGAGTGTTTGTTGATTTATAGTGATACATGTTTGCATGAACTTTAAGATAAGTTGTTTAACCGATATACTTAACTATTCCGCCTCTTATTTTTAGCTTAAGCACTGATACAGATCAGTCCTGAAGTAATATTTCGCATTTAAAAGGAGGGAAACGCATCCTAAATATGCTATTATTGTTGTTGTTCAAGGCGATCAAGACTGCATTTTGTTAGTCTTCACCATTCATATATTCTAAATCAGTAACCGAACTTTTTAGCAGATTGATCCCTGAAAAGTTCGTTGAAGGACATCGATGACGAATTTAAATACAAATAGGGGTGGTGGGTGATCCTGGGGAGTGCCACTTGATTTAGACAGTTATGGTGACAGTTTTCCACGACCAATAATACATGAGTACAGAGCCTTCACAAGGTTTGTGTACTTATTTAGTACGTCTTTCAATCACAAATATTGACACAGAACCTCCCGGACAATATGGCGAATGATTAAGAAACCTTTTTAGTAGCTTGCAAATATTATTTGTCCCTAAATCCCATAAAGTCCCAAGAGATCTATCAATCCGGGTCAAAAATTACCAAAAACATCCTAACTATTACAATTATTTTATTTAGGTTTTTGATTCGCCCACTCGACGAAAGTGAACGTTAAAGGTGAAATCCAGGTGTGTACAGGTAGGACAACCTAGTTGAGTTAGATGATAAATAAAAATTTCCACTGTAAGTCGCTGATAGATATTTTGAAATGAATAGAAACGAAAAAACGCTAGGAAAAAAAATGCGACATTTTAGGAGCAATGTAAATGCTTCAATTAAGATTTATTAAGACATACCCAAATGCCGTATATGCGAGTATAAAAAATATATGTTTTATATGTTTTTTCCGGTGTAAATAGCCCGAGTGGTGCCCATTAAACACGTTAAAATCTTTCAAATTAGTTTGTTTAGGATCACAACAATACCCCGTAAAATCAACTTGATTGCGAAGAGCACGTAAATTTGTTTCGAAAATCCCCAATTCTTTAGCACTCGATTGAGCTAGTCGTATCAATGTCACAAGAGTAGCGTCTATGATGCCTTCCAACTTAAAGCGACCAGTATTTCTCACAATTAAGTTATTGATCCCCGTCAACGAATGGTGAACAAGATGACTTATAATTTCCTGTTTTTGTAAATGGTCACTCATGCAGCTAGTGAATGTTTTGATGTATAAAGAGAGGGCAATATACCTGGTTACAAATTTGAAATGAGTGGGAACCAGATCATTTGATGCGATAAGCTGATTCAAAATGAATGTAAATGGTGAAAAAAGACGAGTACTCCCAGAAAATAGTAACTCTCCGTAATTTGCTAGAAATGTGTCTATATCACTATGGATCTTATCATGTGAAAACAACCTTCCAGTAATCAAAAGACGACGTACTGAAGAGAGCACTTCAGTTTTTAAGCGATTAAATTGATATGAATCAGAAGAACAGAGAGCTTCCATTGAAGAAGTGTTTGAAGCCACATCTAAATTATCTCCACTTTTCTGAACAGTCATTGTTGGAGTACTGAGAGCTATACATAGTATGATGAAATCTTGAAAAGACTGATTGTGAGGTCTGAAACCATTGATAGTCTGACAGGTTGAGTCCCACGTTTGAGAATCTAAACCAATTACACGTATCCATCTGAAAAAACAAATAGAACAAACCTGACAAAATACGTAACCATCATAGTGATAACTGAGGAATACCACTTAACATGGAAAATATTTAAAACCACATATCCACTTAAATTTGTCAGCTGGTTTGAAATAGTTAACTCATGTGCTGAAATTAATATATAATGGAGTATTAACCTCTGGAAACGAACAATGATCACTGTGCAGATAGTCAGCCAGCTAAAATGTAGGACTAGGCACATATATGCATCGGTTCAAGTTGCCAAACTTCATTAGCACAAGATGAACGCCAAATTCATAGAAACAGTTCCTTCAATGGTAGTAAAAAAATCTCATATAAAAACATGATACAGGGAGAAAGAATTAGTTTGTAGAAAAGAAAATATAAAGTAATTTTATTCTCACGGTTTAAGGGAAGACAAAAGGTGCATACGCCTAAGTCGTTGTGATCGATTACGAGCTATGTCACCCAGAGTCTCACTGAAAAACTGTTCCGCGTTACCTACAGTCAATGCCTCTTCTATCTCTTTCGTTTTCGTTGCCCACTACTGTTAACGATCGTTCCTTAGACTTTTAGTTAACCTAGACCTGACTTGTTTTCGCTCGTCATCGTATTCGAAGCATGATGGGATAAGACTACGAGAATCTATCGATGCAATAGATGTAGCAGAAATCCACTGGTTTTTCGTAACTTTAGATCACTAATAGATGTCGCTTCTATTTCCAGAGCTGTTCGTATATCTTCTTAAGTAATATATGAGTTAGCCTTGTTTTCGAAATAGCCTAAGTGTACCTTCAGTTGTTTCTGGAATGTACCTTTGGCCTTCTCGTCGCTAAATTCAACTCTAATGGGTCTTACTGTAGTTTTTCTGCGTCCAGAGAGGTACAAGCAAATGTATACTCGTATTACAGTATGATTATAGCCTAAACATGTATTCCAAAACGAGCGACAGTCTTCAATAGAGCTTATCCAACGATGACTGATGGCAATATGGTATATTTGAGTCCACTGTTGATTTGATACAGAGGACCATCATATTAGACAATGTCTCTCCTTCTACTTAAAGTTAAAGCTTATCAGAAATAAACGATCGTCTGAGAACAGTTGTAGCAAACGGTCACCATTATCAATTCGCTGAGCCGGAATACAAAATAACTCATATAAATGTCTTTCTGTTTGGTTTAAGCTACCTACTTGGGCATTAAAGTCACCTGCTACGAGTACTATATCTGAGTATTAAGCTTTTTGAAGTTCGGAAAGCTTTCTGTAAAATTCACCTTTCACTGCATCCGGGTTGCAGTTAGTAAGAGCGTAGGCAGAAATGACGAAAACGAGACAGCGTGTATTCCTATCTTTTTGAGTTCTTACTGTCTCGTTTAATCGGACAGCGCACAGGTGACTGTTTGTTGTAATCCAGTCTAGGAGAGCCTGTTCTGCCTTAAAACTTAATGATACGCCCACATTTGCGAGGCCACAGGAAGTAGCAGTGGTGTCTGCAGATACTCGAAGGGTAAATCGTGACGGTTCTTTATATTGACAAGGTGAGGTCAAATGAATGACCAAACTTGGATTCTGTGTGCGTGTTTCGAAGACGCACGAGATTCTTGAGTCTTAACTAGAAAAGCCTGTTGTCCTATCTGTCACAAGGTTCGGACGGTAAAAGCTCCAACATCTGGTTTAAAGAGTGATTTCAGGAAACTAGGAATAACATTTCATGAACTCAAATCATTAGCGCAAAACTATGTGGTGCCCATAACACATAATTCGTATCTAAAATATCCCTAAAACCACAAATAATGGATTACTACATTCATATCTTTGTGGTCTATATATGTTATAAATTATTTATCCTACATTTTGTTGTTTAATTTACGGAAAATCTACACACAAAATTTCATACCATCTAGAACTCACTCAGATGCAATATTTTTGTTAAATCGAAATGCAACTCGTAAAAGGTCAACAAGAGTAGAATTTATTACAGCTGCTGAATCAACGAAGCCTGATCTAGCAAAACTGAAAAAAGTGCGTAAACGCGTTACAAGTCTAGATAATTCAGCTGGTGTCTGTGGAAGAGCTGGTCCACTAATCAAAAGACAACGAGTTATTATACGAAGATACTCAAAATAGAAATCCAGGCCATTACAGCGATCAAGAAGTTGGAAGAAAGCAGAATGTAGTCTATCCATCAAGTCTCCTTTCACAGAAAAATCCGTTAAACACTCGATGAGGCAAATGACTGCATTACAATCCTTGGATGAGGTGTGTTGATTTTCAAGAGATACATTATCGAGTAAGTTGATAAGCTGGTAAACAAGCGATGATCTGTCTTCATCACTTAATATACACCCTGACGAACAAGGAGAAGATGCCAGATCAGGAAGGATCCCAAGGATTTTGGCTTGTACTCGTGGTTCCTCAGCAATCTGAAACAGGTCAGTAAGACGTGAGGATATGTCAGAAAATGTTTGTTTGGTGCCGAACAATGGATGAAGACCAATGGGTTGTCGAAATTGCTCAAGAAGATGTTCAGAATATGGCGAATGATTAGCAACTAGCTCCAACACGAAGTCCGTCAGAAGAGAGCACAAACATGGTGTAAACAAAAGTATTTGAAATGCTGTTGCTGGAGAGCCAAACAACAGCAAGACGTCATTATCGGGAAGATCAACTTCCGCATTGGGTGTGTCCGTAAGTAAAGGATATAGCAAATTGAGGAACGTAGATAAATTACTTGGAATATCTTCATTTGAAACTGCTGATAGACTGCGTAATTCATCAGTCAGTTTGTGACACAACTGATGCTTGGACTTTAGAAAAGTTTCCAAATAACGGCATCGCTTTTGAGCGGAATAAGCCATAGCCCAAGGTGAAGTAGGATTGGATACATGATTGTTAACGGCTAAGAATGGCATTTTAGTCAGATAAAACTGTCCCGTATTCGGACATCTACTTATCCCAATTTTTTGCAAGATATCTTGTAGCGTTTGAGCTGGGACCACAAAAAAGGGAGTAACTTCCACACTTGTTGATAGCCAACTACTGCCTTCAGGTGCATAGTCACTTGAAGAATCTTTGTCACAACACCCCAAAGCGTCGGATATTCGTGATAGCATTCAGTCGGAATAAGTGCACCAGTTCAGCCAACAAAAATCTAAGGGGTAAGGAAAAAGGTTAGTAATCTCACCCTGAATCAAAACAAAACACATGAGAACCTAACTACAGAGTCTACAACATGTAGTAAAATTAAATATCAATTGCAAGAACCAACATCTAATGAATATTCTAGTCTTACTGTTCAATGATAAAACCTACTTAAACCATACCTAGTCAATTGCCAGTGTCTTCAAGTATGGCTTACATTTCGTGACTTTAAAATCACAGAATCAGAGTGGGCAACTGTAGTCTGTAACGTTATTAAACAGTTAACCAATTATCAGACGCTTTTGCTAAATTTTTCACTGAAACCCACAGGACACATAATAACCAAAGTAAAAGGATATTTGAAACGAATTTACAAAGCCAACTACTGATAAATACTAGAAAATGATAACATATAATAGGATGTTTGTGAAAATACAGAAGATTGTACTAAAACACTTAGACCCCACCCAGTGAATTCAGAGTAACGAAATGTCTGAAAAGCCTCCACAAACCCGACTGTTCCTAAAGGCTCTCGTTATATGTTTAGATCCAGATTTTCTATGAAACTGATACAATGAAAGTGAGTTGTCCTAAGACGTGTGAAAAAATCACCCAAACCTTGCTTGTTAACAGGAGAACACCTTAGTTTTATAACCACCACCACCACCCGCATGACACTGCCAAGAATAATAAATCTAGTTCATGTCCTCTCCAGGGAGTGTTCAACAAAGTAAAAGGTCGACGAAAAGCCTTTACAGTCATACCCACAGTAGATGAAAACAAATCTCTGAAAGTTATTTTAACGCAGAACACCAGTATTCAGTAACTAAAATAGTTGCCTCTATGGTAATGTTATGCTCTTGCTCTTTGAAGATATAAAACTCACTGAGGTCATCAAAAAAAGATCCAGATATAGTATCCGATGAAATTTGTGGTATTCTAACTGGTCAGAAAACGGAACCACTCCTACCAACAAACCTTCACAAGCCAAATGACCGACTTTTTTTATTACTAAAAAGATTACGACAAAATGCGACTACTTTAAACTTCCCAATGTTCCAATTTTTTGGAGGTGGACTTCAGATTCTTCCCCACAGTCATCTAGAATTTCTTATTTTTTTCTGAAAATCTTAAGGATTTTTGTCTTATTTCCTCTAAACTTTTCATTAGAGCTAATGTAAAATCGATAAAATTATATCCGATAGTTTTAAGTCGCAAGGGAAGAGGCATGGTGTTATACGTTAGGGATCACTTTCGTATACAATCAATCATATCGGAGACGCATGTTAGTGGTACATGTGAGGTAGCATGTTGTACAATTAAATCCAGAAACTGGTTAGTGACTATAGGAGGAATATACCGTAGTCCGTGTTGTCTTGCTGAAGACTTGATCTTTAGACACATCCGTTCTTGGAATAAGGCAGAATGTTGTCTCATCATTGGAGACTTCAACACACTGCACGTATCACAAAACCGACACATAGACTTGGAACATGACCCGTCATTGCTAGACCTTGTCCTCACACACCACTGTGAGGATGTCATCGACATTCAGCACCTTTTCCCACTAATGACCACGTTGTTTTACTTCAAGTTTAGGACACATGGTATACAATTTGTATCTTCTCCACCCCGTCCCGATATCTGGCGAGCTAGTATCCCGGCAGCCAGGAATATATGTAAGAAGACCATAACTAAATCCCGCACTATTTACGAACGACAGTTGGTATATGATAGCCGTACTTGTCCGAAACGATTGTTTTCGTATTGTTAAGCGGCGAACAAATCGTAATGATGGTATCCCCTGTTACTGTTACACAAAAATACAGACTTAATAGCTGAATCATTTCGGGCAAAATGAGACATCATCAGATGACATCTTCACAGTGGTGTGTGAGGACAAGGTCTAGCAATGACGGGTCATGTTCCGAGTCAATGTGTCGGTTTTGCGATACATTGTATAAGTGTACGCTGAATAATAATTGTTAGAAGGTCGCTATGGAAACACCCACCTGAAGCTGTAAGCTCTATCCAGTTGATATGCGGTGCGTTGAAGTCTCCAATGATGAGACAACATTCTGCCTTATTCCAAGAACGGATGTGTCTAAAGATCAAGTCTTCAGCAAGACAACACGGACTACGGTATATTCCTCCTATAGTCACTAACCAGTTTCTGGATTTAATTGTACAACATGCTACCTCACATGTACCACTAACATGCGTCTCCGATATGATTGATTGTATACGAAAGTGATCCCTAACGTATAACACCATGCCTCCTCCCTTGAGACTAGAAACTCTGTTACTTCTAATACAGATGTAGCTCGCAACGTTGGGAGAAGTCTACATTTATGGTGCGTCAAGTTTCTGTGACAACAATTATATTGGTATTTAAACAACAATTATGTCGGGACTTAATGTCTTTTGCGCCCTCTAGCACTAATAATCTCCGAGGTCATAGCAAGAAGGTTCACAAACCATGATCCTATAAGTGGGGTCCCGTTTTTCTGATCGAGTAGTCAATGACTGGAACGCCTCACGCGAACAAGTGGTATCAGCCACATCAGTGAATATTTTTAAGCTGGATCTTTACTGGAAGGCAATCTGTAAGGATTGACACAAGTTTAAAAACCAACTATCCTTATTACTGAGAAATGAAATCGGGAGACCGGGCTTTTATAGAACCTGGATAAATGACTCTATTTATTACTGAGTTTCTGCAGGAAATCACATGTGACGAGAACTCCTAGGGTCAAATTTGGCCTCAAGATAAGAACATACTGACAAGCCGGAAGAAACTCGTAAGTCATTTATAACCGGCTTGTAGACAGAATGGAGGTGAACTTGAACACTACCTAAAGTAATATTCAGAAATTAAGTCTCCCTCAAGCAACATCTAATGACGAAAGAACGGACCAATACACAAGGGTGCATAAGCAGAAACCTTAGGCAGTTCAGTGCATAAAACATACTCTATACAATACTTGTAATGTACACACTGTACCAAGCTTTAGGTCAACGAGCAAGAAAAACAAATTCAATTTCAGTCTACTCTTTGATTTGACGAGGTTGATCTACGGTAGTCCTATCGAGGGAAGCCTCATGAATGGTCCGACGATTTTTGAACCTATCGATAGATAGAATCTTAACCAAGTGTTGAGCTCAGAAGTTCCTCTAGTTGATGATTCAATGGGAATCCCTACCAATGTGGAGATAGGCCTGACAAGCTTCTTTTGTAAATAGTTTTTAATGTTATTTGTATTTACTTTGTCAATTTTTCACTGTATGTACATTTGTCACTAAATTACTGCACGTGTTGTTTAAGCGAATGACCCTGAACACACTTTCCGTTGTGTAATTACATAGCTTGACATTCTGTTGCTTGTCAATAAATACATGGATACACACATATCCCTCGTTCTATTTCCGTTTGTGATTGAGCTAACTGAAATCTAAATCAAATATTACCTGCATTTATAGACTGTGAGTGGGAATATACCATACCTTACATTGGATTGCACTACTGGAGAGTTCGTCAACCTGATTGGAATTACCAAGCATTTATAATTGTGGATTTTGAGTACCAGACCAAAGCTGAACACGCATCAATTTGGTGAACTTAAGTAAAGTCCCAATTTTCTATTGTATTAGTAACAATTAACCTACATATATTAACATTAATATTGACCCTTAATAACTTTGTTGATACTTTTTACGTTTATATATCGTCTGGTCCACCACAATAACATTAAAGTTAATGCTCAGATGATAAGTAATTGAGTTTGGCCTTGTGAACTTTTAAGAAATGTCCTCATTATCTGTATCCGAAGACATGTCGGTGGTAAATTCAACATCAAGCAGGCCGTAGCTGCCCTGAAATTTTCGTCTGACGGTTGACCTAACGTGATCACTTCAACATGCAAGTGCTTTAGCACAGGTAAGACCTACCTCTATGCCGATGACTTAAAAGTCGTCTATAAAACTGACATTTGAGATGCATGTGGTACTTCGCATACAATCCAACATGAGCTGAACATGGTAGACGACTAGTGCAAACGCTGGAGGTTAGAGCTCAACACAGATAAATGTGACTGGTTATGTATAGGAGACACGACCTGGGGGTAAATTACTCACACAGTCTTAATTGCTCTGAACACAACTCAGCCAAATCATTTAAAATGCGGAAATTGCTTGGCTTCATTCTACGTAATTTCTTTCAAGATGAATCTAACATCCTTCTTTATAAAGTTCATGTAAGACCTATTATTGAACACTGCCCTTTTTCATTTTCCAACCTACGCCTATCTGATATACTAAAGGTGGAAGGAATACAATGAGACCTCACCTGCAAAATACTTAAGACTGACTCAGTCGTTGACTACATTTCCCGATGCCAAATCTTAGAAAAAGAACCCTTTTGGGAGAGAAGGCTTAGGGCTTATTTGATTCTCTACATCAAACTGTTCAAAAACCTTACCTATTCAACGTGTAAGATAGTTCTTGCCCAAGATTCACACGAATACGAACTTCGAAACAAAGTATCTACGGTAAAAACTGAGAAATACAGATCGAAACTCGGGAAAACTTCGTCCTCATCAAGTATTCAATAATATGAAACAGCCTTCCATCCGAAATTCGCATGGCAGATGAATTACATACTTTTGTAAAACTGCTTGATCAAACCCCCACTTACACTTATCTTGCACGCACGAACACATCTGCGCCTTACTCAGACATCGTAAGCTCTCTCCATGTCTAAAACAAAATAGACTTCAGGTTCATTTTGTTTTCTTTTTCTACTTTGCAGTTGTATTAGTTGGTTTTTCCGCATTATTTCTTCACTTGAAGTAGACAGGTAACTCTCTGGACCTATCGATACTGTTCAACTAAACTCGGTCTCTAAGGAACACTCACTATCACCCTAAAAAGTCAAGAGAAACGCACAATCGACTGCCTACTGCCAGTGGTCCTGCATCTATGGAGTCTGTTACCAACCAACTGGTTAGGACAACACAAAATAGCATCAGCACCAAATTAGTGTGAGTTTCTTCCCCTTTATTCAATACCAGCTTTTTACTCTTCTGTGCACTATGTTGACTAGCAATTAATATTATTTCTCCACTCGTTACCTTATCTACAACTCATATACTTCTATACTTTTTCACCTACTTTAATAAACAACTATCCAACATTATAACATTCCTAATGCTTATACTCTGATTGGCAAACTATACTTTATACTATAGACAATTAAAGCACTGCATCGATGACCCACCCACAGTCCAAAAATAGTAATTGCCTGATAAGCTTGTAAGGTGGTACTTATAGAAATAGTGTATTCCAACAGGTTGTGAAACACAGAGGATTGTGCAAGGTATGACATATATCCGAAAATGAGCTTAAATGAGCCAAACATCACAAAAGGAGGGTAGGTGGAGTTACTGACCAGCAAGGTTTGATAGTGAGGGTGATGACTTCAATCCATCCACGTTTGTAGGGCGGAACATTTTGTTTGTATCAGGCTCTTTATAACTGAGAATAAGTCAATCAATCTGTGACATAGATTGTCTTCCTACGCTCACTATTCAGACTCATGTTTCCAATTTTACGCTGGATTAGCTATTCTACTAAGACAACCTATAACATGCCAACTCATAATTTTACACTAGCATTGTGTGGATGCATGGGATGGACAAACAAAGAAAAGAAATAAAAAATAGACAATAAAAGACATAGTCATTGGTATTTTTAACATTTCATCCTCTCTTCTAATAAACCTCTTTCCTTGTACCAACCTTGAATTCCCTTCCCTCATAAGAGCTTAATACAACATGTTAAACATCACAACTCATTGTTCTTTATTACTGCATTCTCTTATATGGAGCCCTTGACTTCATTTCACTCTATCAAAAGATTATATGAATTTAATCGAATTTATTTTAACTGTGTCTGTTCTACTGCAAAATGATAATCAAAGTTTAGCGTTCATATCAAAGTGCCCTGCTGCTCTTCTGTTTCTCTTTATTCTTTCCTCAGAATATTGCTCTGAGGGCATAGCTATGGAAATTCTGACGTCTGGAACAATCTTGACGTACGCATCTCCTCAAGGTCATAGTTTACAGCAAGCGCTCTACAAGTCTACTTTATAACAACTATAAAATTAATAATTTGGGAAGCATGCTGTGAGCCAACAAATGTTTTGATTTGTAGATCGTGCGTGTGAAAATGGCGCGTGCCTGATCATGCAGAAATATATTATTATTTTTGAAATATGGTAGTAGAGAATTTCCACTGTTTTGTTTAAAACTTTTCAACCTATCTATGGAATATGGGACCTATCCATCTGTGTTCAAAACATCTCTTATCACCCTTAGATTCAAAACAGGATCACGTTGTGATATTGCTAAGAACAGATCAATCAGTCTGACATCCTTGTTATCAAGAACCATGGAAAAAATCATCCACAAACAGCTATTATAATTTTTACCTTCGGCCAGTCTGATTAGTCTATCCCAACACATGCTCATGCTTCACATCGCACCTGGAATTTTTGATCAAGATACTTAGAGAGGAGATGTTGGTCATTCAGTGATAATTCATTACTTCGATTTTAGCAAGACTTTCGATAGGGTCCCACACAAACTTCATCTTCTAAGACTCTCTTCATTCGGCATACAGAATCCCTTTTTATCTTAACTCAAATCTTTTCTAGAAGAACGTAGTCAAATCGTTCGCTTTGGATCTTGCTTCTCTGAACCTGTGAATTTGACCAGTGGGGTTATACACGGAAGTGTGATTGGTCCATTACTCTTCCTCTCTTTTATCAATGACATGTGTTCCCTCTTTAAGTATGGTAAACCTTTCCTTTTTGCTGATGACCAGAAAGTAGTTTATTCATTCTCTTCTCCCACCAAAGAAAGTTATATTTCTGCGGTTATCCAAGAGGAAACAAACAAGTTATACGAATGGACTGTTTCGTGGAATTAGCCACTTAATATTGACAAAAGTGGATTTATTCACATTGGCCGCTGCCTTAACCTAAATTTGATTATACACAAACATACACTGAAACCTCTCAACACTGTTCGTGACTTGAGCTTAAGACACAGCAACAATTTGAACTTGTAGTGACTCACATTTATCACGAGAACAATTATTATTATAACCAATTGTACCAGTGTTTGTTTTAATGTGCTTTTGTTTAACTGTGCTAATTATAGCCATTTTGTGCTTCCATTACCTTCCATTATTGTTCCGCGGTTTTTGCTACTGTTCGCACGTACTCCATTCTCCTGCTTTCGCTTGTACCGTTCTTGGCACGATCTCGGTATTCATTCGATACCACGAGATCGCCAGACGAATAAATCTGGTTACGCTCAACCTACGCCTTCTGATTTCCTTGGCACGTGTTTTTTGATAGCGGTGTTCATAGTCAATCTCCACTCGACAACACGCTACAAACTATTCTGAGCACATTGGATCGCAAGTATCCAAAGCTAGAAAGGTCATCGGATTCATAATAATAAACTTCAATAATATCGAATCGAAATTACTATTATTATGCACAAAATGTATCTTACCCATTCTTGAATATGGTATTTTAGTTTACAGTAATTGCAAGCATAATGACCTGATTAAAATTGAAGGTGTTTAAAGAAGGTTCACCAAAGCTGTTTTGCGGTATTCTGACAACAAGGACTATCACCAAAGATGTCAACAGCTCAAATTAAAACCTTTTTGGATCAGACTTATTAAATTAAACCTTGTCTTTATCTACCGGCTTATTAACTGTATTTCCTATTCTTCGGTATCCACCCCTTCATACTCTATGATATTATCCCACAATCCTATCAATAAAAAACTATTCTAGCGATTCAGCGACCTACACAAACTTACGCCAGAATGTTTTCGTTATTCACTACTCAACCATGTAGATCAGACTGCCTGTGAACCTCCGTTTCAACGAAACGTTAGTGGCATTGCGTCC